AACATAGAGCAGGAAATGAAATAATATTTTTTGAGGATCTCCAAAGATGCAAAGATTATTTCTATCTGAGTTAGCTCTGGTAATAAATGACCACATGGAGTATCTCAACCTCACTTAATTTCTATCTTAAGGTTAATTAATTATTCTGCTGGCAATATTATTCATTCTAGGCAGTAGCCCAGCTATGGATGAATAATGGTAAATGGCTGGAAATGTTTTTTAAAGCAAAAAAAAAAAATTGTAGCATTTTTTCAAAAGCTTATAATTATTAGGTCAATGTCAAAGGAAATGGCTTGCTTTGTTACTAACTTTAATAAAGGAAGATTACTGGAAAAGCCTTTTTTTTTGCTTGTTTAAGAGACTCTGAATAGCCTGTCACACTCATTCGTTTTGGGAAGTAGAGATTTTCGGTCCTTCATGATATGACCCATAATCTGTAAGAAATGAAGCACTGCACAGCACTATAATACATTACAAGCAGTATATATATTTGCATATTTGTAACAAGACAAATTATATTTATATTTTCTAGTAAGCAGCAGAATTACTGTGAAAATCTGCAGAATCACTTTGGAACTGATTTGGGGTTAAATTTATCCTTTAATATCCTCAAATAGTTTAATCTTACTTAAGATTACTTTCAGATTTCCAAATATTATCTGTTCTCTTTATTCTTCTGGTGACCATTTGTTTACAATAGTTATATGATCCTTTTTGCTACCAGCTGTGTTTAGTTTTCCCATCATCTGCCTTCTCATTAAATTCACAGAAAGCTTTGTGGAAAAAAAAAAATCAGGCCACAGGGTAAATGCTAATTTCTGGAGCTGGGAAGATAGATGCTAACCTCATAATTACACTGTTGAAAAAAAAAGTCTTAGAAATCGACTTTTCTGTGAATGCTCTAGTACTGGCCAATTCCAGTGATAAACTGTTGCCTTAGGTAGACCTAACAGAATGCTCCTGTTCCTGGGGGGAGTTACAGGCAGATTTCCTAAGGTCTTGGACCCTTGACTCACTCCGAAGAACCAATGAAACTACACTTTGGGAGTTCCCCTCCCTCATCCAATACAACAGAAGAACTTAAATTTATCAGGCAGAACAATTTTTTACATGTACGTTTATGATTTTACATTTAAACCTCAAAATCTCTTAAACCTGTAAGTTTACTCCTGAACAAAGGTACTTCCTCATATGATGAAGAATCTGACCCCAAATTTAATTTTGTAACTTCCTGTCAAGCAAAAACTGTTGATAAGTTTATAAACTGTTAATGAGTTTATAATATTTCTCTTCACCAACGGGCTAATGTATGTAATTCACTGCCTGCTCTAGTAATTAGGTGTAACTAGAAAGTTAGAGTCCCCCAATTTACATCAAAGGATATTAATCAAATCTAGTCCTCAACCTGAACTCAAGTTCAGACCTGCTAGCCAGCACAAAATTTTAGTAAGTGTTTTTGAATATAAATTTACTCACTAAAATTCCCCTAGTAATATAATAGGCATTACAGCTGAACAGTTCAGTGTCTCTTAAAACCACAATACATTACTTTCTGATCTTTAACATATTACAATACTATGGAGCAAAGTGTCCCTTTGAGGAATGCAAATTACATTTTCACGGAAAAGAAAGAATATTATACTACGTGGTAAATCAAACACTTTTCCTTTAGCAATCACTTTCCTCAGGTGGAGTAGCAACTAGATGTGATACAAATAACTGCTCTCCAGGACCTTTTGATATCATTTTGCTGCACACCTTCAAATCTCTTTATTTTTTAAGAAAGGTAAGCATTAACATTCTCCAGGATGGGGAAACTGGCACTGTTCTCAAAGTCTACATTGAAGGTACTTAGTTCTGCTGAAAATCTCAGTTTGGAATTGTTTTTCTTAGCCATGTATTTGAAATTTGTTCTTCAGGTGAACTGAGTGCTTACAGACTGTATTCAAATGATTAGGAGATGGTCCATAGACCGTCCATTTTCTTTAAAAATTGTGTTATTATTTGGTGTACAGAGGAACCTAATTTGGGTAATCATTGTTGGAAAGCTTAGATTAAGGATTTTTGTAATACTTCACTACCTATTATGTCCAAATTTTACTGTGTAAGTGCACATCGATAATTACATTATGTAATTTATGAATAAAATGTCTAACACTAGGCAGATAAATAAGATATATTTCTATTGCAGTCCCTAGTTTAGAAAACAAGTAATTTTCCACACACTGTATCTCAGAGATAAGAATTCTAAATTAAGTTCAATGTTGCATCTAAACCTAAGAATATTCTATAGTCATCAACAAAGTACCTTTGTTTCACTGAGACTTCGTGCATCGACCACACTCAACCAAATAAAAAGAAAGTGCAAATGGAAAAGTAAATTTTGGGGTGTTCTGAGACTGCTTTTTCTCCTCAACCTGAAATCAGACTTCACTTTAATAAACCTTGAAAAGTGGATGAGCACATTTAGTTCAGTATCAGCAATTCTTGCACAAGGATTACACAATATAAATGATGGGTTTTTTTAACAGCGGGATGATCAAATGAGACAGACTGCAAATGATGTGTTCATTCATATAATACATAATTCACAAAAGAAATAGGAAAGATGTCCACACTGACCATAGTCTGTGTTTTCCGGCTCCCAACAATTAGATGGCCAAAAATAAGGTGTCTATAGATAAAACAAAAAAGTAGGGAACTCAGGTTAGACAACGCAAGAATTACACACTCCTTGGATTGATACTGCTTTTTAAAGTCAATTTACATTTTTGGTAGATCTATTATGCTTTTAACTCGACAGTTTTGAAATAGGCATCAAAACAGCAAATTACTTTGGTGTGCTTGTTTATTGCACGAGTGTCAGAATGGCACTGAAAAAGAAGAACAAAGCATTCTTTTCATTTTTAAAGGTAACTGAACAAAAAATACAAGGTTAGAAGTGAGGTTGCCTTTTTTCATCTTCCCTATCAACACACCTCGCAATAAACCTCTCACATGACCTGAAGAATGAGTTTCAGAAGGTGAAAAGACACAGGAGACTTTTGGGTACATTTACTTCTTGATTTTTCAGCGTTTTCATCATATGTTACTATTTAAGTCTCTTTCCTAGAAGCTATTTAGTAAAAAAGACCAAAAGCCACTGTGTTTTCACCAAGTTATCAAACTCACTTTCATTTGCTGAAGCTCTTTTTTTTTTTTCCAAATATCTTTATCACTTGTCATTTCATATTTAAAATGTGATTTATTAATGGAAAGCCACTAAAAAAAATCAAGAATTAATTCAATACAGTTTTTATTAAAACTAGATGAAATATATTGCTAAAATAATTCTCTTCCACAAAATGTAGAAAATATGACAACATTGGCTTTTTCACATGAAAACTATTTTGGGGTAAAAATTTAACGGATTATAGTATCTATACACATAGTACCTTTATATATGCATATATATGTATGTATATATACTTATATATATACAGAAATRTACAAACATACACACAATTATACATCATTTGGGAAGCTGATTCAACCTAATTAAATGTGAAGCCTGGTGCATCTGAGCTATATTCTGGAACACAGGTGCTTCCTTAGGACAAACTTCTCTCTGCTCTTTGCTTCCTATTGCCTTTTCTCAAAGATCTCCCAGCTGCAAAAATGGAAAACCCTCTTGCTGTACACCATCCTCCAAATAATCTTAATGGTGATTAAAAGTTTGAGAGGACAGAAATATGACACACTCACAACTACTTCCAGGTTAAATAAGTAGGATTAAAAAATTAACTCTATGATAACCTTGATCCCTCAACTCTAATAGGAGCAGAAACTAATTCCCTGCTGTTTGTTTGCTTCCCGGTCCTACTTCTAAGCCAGGGAATATATACATCTAAAATAAAATATTACATATTACAAAATATTACATATATTACATGTGTCTTTTGAAACAGTACACAAAATATAGGAAATGTAACATTCAAATCTTGCAACTTTTTGCTAGTTATGAAGCAATAACAATGAGTTAAAGAATAAAAAAAGCCACAGTTTAACTTCAAAGGCTGAGACTAGTTTCTTGTAAGCTGTTTCTGGCTCTGTGATGGTGCAACAGTAAATTACTCTTCCTATTAGCAATTCCTGTACAGCACCACCAGACMCAAAGTGACCAATACAAGCACAAATGGCCAGGCAGGGCAATAGAACCCCTAAGGTATAAATAGCATAGGAATAGACCAGCAATCTTCAGTCAACTACACACAAAAAAAAAAAAAAAAAAAAAAAAACCATACAAGAAGTACAACTGAATGCGTATACTAGTAAGGGCGAAGTCTGAGCCTCTCCCCACTCTCACTCTTCCAGAGATAAAAAGCAGAGAGGTTAAAATATAACATGAGTTTCAATTAGAAAAGTACAGGGAAAGTAATAATAAACGGTTCCAGAATATATGAAAAGGGAAAAAAAAAATCCAAAAATCCTTGGGATGCTCTGAGCAGGGCAGGCACCAGCTCCCTCAAGCCGCAGAGCAGCCCRAGCGCTGCCCGCCGGCCTGCTCCAAGTGGAGCAGTGCTCAGATCTGCCACGATCAATTCCCTTGACAAGCCCCAAATTAGTTTTGACTAGAAGATAAGACAACAGGGCAAAGTACAGGAAGAAAAGAAAAAAAAAAAAAGAAAATAGGAGGGGAAATATTTATATAGGGTCAGACAGTTCAATTTGGAGGCCTGATTAAATTTGCCACAGAATACTTGGGAGACTATACTGTTTCCATGGATGTAAGCTGTGGCTTTATTTGTAAAACAACAAACAAAAATTCATCAGCACTGTTAGTTATATGCATGTGTAAATATTATGAGCAGAAATTTGCTCTAATTTCCTTATTATTCCCTTATTATTATTGCTCTTTTCCCCTTATCCCTATTTCTCTACAGTGTTTAACAGTCTTTGACCTCTAATCTGGTAGGGAGTAGTAAAAGTACTGGATTATCTGSAGGATGCCTAAAGGAGTTCAAATTATCTGACTTGCAAGTTACATATGTGAAAAAAAAATTGACTCAAGTGACCTTTGAAACATTTTTAAAAACTGAGCACAGAGGAGTCCCAGAAGAGTAGAGCAAGACAAAGATCTATCTTTTTCAAAAGGGGGAAAAATGACTTAAGAAATTCAGGTCAGCCAATTTACAGAAACTTTCTAAACCCAAACTTTCTAGGTTCAAGCTCAAACAATTTGAATACACTGACCATCTTCAAATTCCTGAAAGCTAGAAAGTTAGTACAACCTGGATTTCTCAAGATGTTATTAAGTCTTTGATTTTGCAAAACCCCAGTAGATAAAAGAAAATAGCAAATGCAACCAAAAATGTTTTCAAAGAGTAGGCAAGAGCTATTTGCTTTCAAAACAGAATGGAAATGGTTGGGAGAGATACAAGGGAAATCTTCCTAAAGACAGGCAGGAAGAAAAAAAAAAAGGGCTAAAATATATATATATATAATATATATATAGTAAAAATAAAAACCAACTTAAAAAATGAAGACACTGAAAATAAAGGGCTTTAAAATTAGTCTCTGCTTAAATATTTTTTATAATCTTATCATTTTATGCAAACACCCCTCAGCAATAAACCTGTCTGTAGCTAAGAAGACTGCAGTTTTCCCAAAGGCGTTTTCCACACTTTCCTGTTTAATTGTTTGGTATTAGCAGTTATAAAGTTTTAGACTTGATCTCCTTGCTAAATTCTAGCAATAAATGTTAATTTCCATCAATATCACCCCTGGCTAAGGCCCAGGGAGAAACCTGATCACAAAACTTGGGTGACAGTGCAATGCAATTGCTGGAATGGTGCATTTAGCTTCGGGGAATGCGGATCAAGGACTYCTCTTCCACTTGGCTCTTCAGCACCGTGCAGGATGCCGTTTCCTAAGGGTAGCTCCGAGGTGCAAACCCACCTCCCCGGAGCTGCCTCCCTCTCAAGCGCCTTCTCAATCACTTGTCCCAGACCTGGTAATCAGAGAAGTTAACGCCGATCTTGCACCAGGCGCTAAGCAGAAACTCCCAGGATGTCTGACCCCCAAAAAATGTTTTTCCTGCAAATAGAGGCTGGAGTATTATTTTGTCTCTGTTTAATTTGCCTCTGTTTAATCATGTAACTTTGCAGCCCAGATTTATAAACGGTCCCTTAAGCGAGTCTGTGAAAAGTAGAAAGTTTTGCCTCTCACTTCTGATCCATTATAAAACTCCCACAGCAATATATGGGGACAGCGTCCATGTAAATTCACTTCTTTATGCCTGGAACGTGGTTTACATTTGCAAGCTTAATGCAATCTGTGGGAGAGAGCTTTGTTTAATTATTTCTTACAGCTCACATACTCAGGCGTAGAAACCCTAGGTAAGTGAAGATTTTGCCCAGAAGAAGTATGGGCATGGTATAAGGTGCTGCACCTTTATCTCACCACTTCTGGACAGAAGCTTAAAAAATATTTTTTTTTCTTTGTGAAATGTAGAAAATCCGGAGGAATTATTATACTTAAAATATTTCTCCTCAGAAGGAAATGCAAAGCAGTTTGTCATGAACAAGTATTAAGCAGGGAACATTTGTCACTTTGCCATGACATCCCACTTATAACCGGAAGGAAGGTGGGTGGCAGAACGTTTTGGGGAAAGTCAAGTACTGTTTATCAGCCCAGGCAGAAATAATGCTGCCAGTTTTTATTACTACACTTTTAAGGCACTTTGTTTAATTGTATCTCTAATTTGAATAAGTAGACAGTACAAGTCAGCAGCAGACAAGACAGCAACGTAGACAGAGCATCGATAGTGCACATGCAAATATATACTGTTTCTCTTGATTTACAGACTTATATTATTAGTTCAATTTAAGCACAGAAATCCTGAATCTTCCTGTTAAAAAATGTGAAATAAAATCTGGGAATATAATACGTATTCTGCATTAAACATATGTGTAGCAGTGGCTGCTATACATGGTGAGCAAACAAATAAATCTGCTTTCACTCTACCATAAAGCTAATCAATAACAATATCTGAAGTAATGAAATAGCCACTTGTAAAAATCAGTGTGGCCCATCAGCTTCTAAAAACACAATTAATTTATATGCATTAAAGTGTATTACTGAAGGGGGAAGTCACTAAACATCTTTCAGCTACACCTTGTTGTAGTAGTAAGAAAAAGATTGCAGTTCCTGAAACTGCTCCACTCCCTGAAATTTTTAAAAATTTAATTACTGTGGATGGGGGAGGATTATTCAAATCAGTCACAAACTTTCCTTGCATATTATTGTTCTTCTTCTTCCGAAGGCCACCAGGGAACTGCAGAAATCAAGTCTTTGCTAAAGAACTGTTATACACAATCTCAAACGCCTTGCATGAGGGATGGGAGATTTCACAGGCGTTCATTTTTTTTATATTCACTATAGTTGTAGTTGACTCAAATGATCTCTTGGCAAAGAAAGGTTAAGCATGCTGGTCTAGCACTAGCTGGCCTGTACAGGAGGGATATGATTGAGGCTATCAGCACTCCCTCGTGAACTACAAACGGCCAAAAAAAAAAAAAAAGATCAAGGTATGCAGATGTGGATTTGGGCTCTGAGACTCTTCTTTCCTAGCTTGGGAAGAGGTTGAACACAGAAGGCAGTGGGAGAAAGAGTGTCTGAGAGGGCAGTCAGTAAGATGCATTATGTGAAATTTTTTTCCCTCATTTTCCCTCTGCGAAATCTAAACATAAGTAGTATACGTTGAACCTGAGCAGTATATGTTGAACCCACAATTCTTGTACCTCCAATCAAAATCTACCAAATGGTAGAGACGATAAGCTGTTTTCTTCCTTTACTGTAAAAACATGACCTCCAATAAAGCTCTTCTCTTGAGGCATTGTGCGTTGGAAGCCTGTTGACAGCAGCTGGAGTGCCACGGTGGTCTCTGCAACAGTTGTTTGCTATGCATTTTAATACACACTTCAAGGGGAAAAACAAGACCAGAAAGGTTGGACATGTTCTTCAAGAAAGTGTCTTTCTATTCCCATTCGTAGAATAGGAGAAGAAATCACAGGTGACACTTCGTCTTGTCAAAATCTATGAGATTTTTGTTGCTATCGTCAGCAAACTCATGTTTTCACATCAAGATACTTTATTCTCATTTTCACTCTTTTCTCAGCTATTTCAATTTTCCAATTTAAAAAGAACAAAACTCTGATTTAAAAAGAACAAAAGAACTCTGATTTTCTTTTGCAATAAATTACCAATTAATCAACAAAAAAAGGGAATATGATTAGCAAACGCCTCAGATGTCTTAGGAATTTGTTTAAACAAAAAAGGTATCAGAAACCATTCCTCCTCACTATGGACAGTGAGACACTTAAGATGAATGTGCAATCTGTAGAAGAAATCAACATTTCTTTCTCTGGGTGACACTTTTGGATGGTTAGCAGCTAAAAAGGGTGAGAGTCAGGCATTTCTCACCAGGATGAACTATGTTTGGCCTGAGGAGGATTTGCTTTCTAAGGTGTACATTGCTTTACTTATTGTGCTGCTCACATGTATTTGCTTTCAGATACGTTAGAGCAGAGAGCTCCTGCTTTCCAGCTCCTGCTTTTGTTCCGAGATTAAAATACCAGGAAAAAGCTACATACATGTTCAGAATCTGACAGTTCAGGTTTGCAGAGCATCGCCATAACAATACTGTCTGCTTTGTCACACTGAGATTAATAAAAAACTACTATGAGTAAGACTGTTAAAATTTAGATTAATTCCCCCTGAACTAAATTATTATTACATAAACTGAACCAGTCAGACCTGAATAGGTCATATAATGATCAGAAATTTTTATTTCTAAAGCCACATTTTCTAAAAAAGAAGATGCAATTATGGTTTTTCAGCCTTCCTGACAGCAAAATTAATAACTGAAAAAGCATAAATTTGGCTTGTAAAAGAGCATTTGTGCAAATGAAATACAATTTCCACTAATTTATCCACTTCTATACAACACTAACTTGTTTAAAACAAACTAGAAGCAATTCTACTGCCAGGAGGGAATCTGTTACCTTTCAGATTACAAAATTAAATGCACAGAAAACATATTGTAGCTAGCCTTGTTTCTGTAGGTTAGGCTACTGTGTTGCAGGAAGTGACTTCTAAACTTTTCAGTGTTGGCAGATGCACTGTATTTTATTTTTCTATTAAAACATATAGAAGTTGGTGAAGCCTAACTGCTCAAGAGTCCTATTTCTGAAGAAGCATCAGAACAACTGAATAAATATTACAGTGCATTAATTATTATTAATTATTAACTGCATTAATTACAGATAAACTTTTGGAAATGATTCCTTTCTCTCCATTGAATACTCTACCTTTGGTTTCCAATTTAGCAGTTTCAGTAATGTTTTTTTTTCACCAGCCTCATTTTGATAAGGAATGTGTTTTTTTAATGATACAAGTTGTGCTGGTACAACTCTAGTTACAGAGTATGCAACCATTTTTTTTTCTTTCTTTTCCTCATGCTATACATTATCAGGAGGTAAAATTGCATTGTTTATCCTTGTTAGTATAGTCACAGCAATGCAGATGTAAGCACCTTTAAAGCAGCATCTGTAAAGAGTGCTACAAAGCAGCCCACAGTCAAATTGCTGCAGCTATACACTTAGCACCACTTGTGGAAATTATCTTATTTCATATGCATATGGCAAGTTTGTGCCAGATTCATAACTTATGTAAATCGATTTACATCGATTAAGAAAGTTAAGTATCAGTTAAGAAAACAGATTCTGGCCTGAATACTAGGGAGGAGGTCGCAGCACCCTGGGAGGGAAAACTTTTCCTTTGGTCTCTTCTGGATCAGTGGAGGCTGTGGATGTGGGGAGAAGCCTGGGATAACGTCCCTTTATATGAATCAAATATATGTGTAACTTACTGTCTGCTGAAGGGCAGTTTTTTTACACTGTATGAGCCACCAAGGATCTCTGTACAAAAATATAGTAGTGATAGTGAAATGCATACAGCAACTCTTTTCTTCCTTGCTAGACTAAATTGTAGATATTTAGTCATATTCACACTAACATGTTAAATTTTAGGCCAGAAATTTATTTTCCCTTACATGCATCTGTAGAGTATGACTCAAATTATATTTTGACATATGTATTCTACAGCAACTGATATCATATAATGCTTGACACAATGACTGCACTCTAGTGTATCACAGGATTTTTCTCTATTTGAAAAATGGTGATTTCATATTCTTTTTATTTTCTATGGTTTCTTATTTAAATAACTTTGAAGATAAAATTTAGATTTATATATCTTGAGGATAATAGTTTTTCCCCTACCAGAGATTATTTTTCTGCGACCATGTAATACAGTTGGCAATAAGACAGCAAGCTTCCCATACCGTGCTATCTATATAATCAGTTTCATAATGATGCTCATTATAGCATGATTTCAAAACAGGAAATATCTAGCAAAGATCTTCAAGCATCTCTTGGTGATACCTGCCACAACTACTGCTTAATTGCAATACAGATTATAACCACCACTATCAATGGTGACACACAGCAAGTAAATTAATTCCTACCCTAGAATACATAATCAAATACTTGTTACAAGTCAGAGGACGAATCAGTCTGCAAATTTCTGGCTTGCTATTCTGTTCGAATAGCACCCTCCAAACCCCTGGTTTGAAATCTAATACAACCGAATACAACTAGATAGGAGCACGAATAAAATACATACATACATATATATATCAAAAGAAAGTTCCTTATGTCTTTTTTTTCTGAAGCACCTGCATATCTTTGTCATTCACATACAATGTGATGTAGAAACGTGTTTGCACGTGTTTTAAGAACACACACCACTTCAATATTACTCTGTTATGCATAAGGAAGTCCTTCTGCAGGAAAGAACATATATTACACTCCTTTTCATACCTGCCCTTTTCCAAATTAAAATTGTGCTAGTAATCAAAGTCAATAAGGTCCTCTCCTCTACTAAACTTTGAAAATACCAGAGTAATTTATTTCATGATGCGTTCTTCCACCATTAGAATTACTATGTTATCAAGCATATTTTCAAGGATCAAAATGGACACTCTTAACACAATGTATTGATTTAATTTTCTGAATAAAATCCTTCTACCACTTTTTAATTTAAGAGGAATCATCATCATCTATTAGGTTACATAGGACAGAAAATATTTCATGATTTGTTATGAACTTTCACATGAAACCTTTTAAATAAGACTGCATTTGTACAACTCAGAAGCACATACGAAACACTCACCTGGAATCGATAAAAGGTTCCATCATCCTTTAGTGTTAGAACATGGTCTGAGATTGGAAAGAAATAACCATGTGCTGCCATCAACGTTCCCAAATGTAGAGCTTCCACTGTTGGAAGAACAAATGAAAAGAAGAGAGAAATTCTGAAGGTTACAAGACTTATTTGTCCCTATACACAGCCCTAATAAGTGAATAGGGACATATAAAGTGGTCATATCTATTGTGGCTTTTTGCTTTATTTAATAGATAATTAAATTTCTTTTTTTAGGGCTATTAATCCAGCGCCTTACTCCAGCACCACTGCATTACACGTAAGTGCAATAATAAAGTGTGTTAATAACAATTTAAGATCCACAATAGTTCAGAATGCGAGTAGTATCACAAGTATACAGAATCACAGAATCACAGAATCACAGAATCACAGAATATTGATTCTTGACAAGTATACGATTTTCTGCCTTATGAAGAAAAAGATTTCAAGAAAAAGGAGATTAACAGAGCCATTCCGAAAGTCTAAAATCCTCTCCACCAAGTCCCTCTGCCAATGGGGCAACTGCATAACCAAAGTATCTACAACACCCTGCTTTTGCACTGAGATTACGTTAAAAGCAAGTATTGCTCAAACAGGAGAACAACTGGACACTTGTTATCACACATATCCCATCAATTAGTAAAAGACTAACGCCACTGCTTTCCACACGTTGGCTGTAAAACTGAACAGAAAGAAAACTCAGCTCCCAGAAGTTTTCTAATATCCAAGCAAGAGGTACACCAGCATATTACACACAAAGGCAACGTTTTGATATGCATTTCAATTTTCTAAAATCAGTCTGAAAAAGGAGTACTCTACAAAGCCTAGCTGGAGTAAAAAAGTAGGATTTAGGGTGCAAAAACATGAGCTTGAATAGGAAAACACAGCCTGCAAGAGACTACTCATACATGCCTGCAGGTCTAGGAAACTCAGTTCAGACAGCTTCTGTATTCCTCACCTTTTCCTGCATGTGGAGTTAGGGGATGAACACTAAAAGAAGCGCCTTCTATTTCAAAGAAGGACAGACAGAGATTATGAACATCAAAAACTTCTAAACTTCTATGAAATACATTGATAAAGAAAAAAAAGCCTCAAAGAATACTTTTAAATATAAAAGTTCCCAGGCAAAAAGAGAATGGGTGTATGTATTTGTAATAGAAATCTCAAAGTCTACGAACAATATTGTTTCTTTAGACAGCAAGTATACAAAGGCACACACAAAAATGTGATATTCATACAACTCTATGATTTCCAAGTCATCAGCCTCTGTCTGTTAGAACACGCAATATAAACTACACCCAGATGGCCTCACTGAAAAGACATAACTCAAAACACAGTCACCACTCCCCTATGAATAAATGCTGCAGTCAGAGATATCACACAAATATCTGACTGACACAAATTTCACTGAGGTTTAACAGGTAGAAAAGAGTAGATTCAGCTTCCCCTGTTCTTGACTGCTTGAAGATATGAATGTGAACCCAGGCTGCAGGCACACTTTGTAGCAGTGGTAGTGCTGAGAAGTAGAACGGCGCAGTCAACAAACAAAAAATCACCCAGAGCACTGTTTTTAACCTTTAATATTTAAGAAAGAACAGCACACTGGAGGAGTTTTAAGTTATAGCAGATAATAGGAAAAAAAAACAGCTTAAGTGAAAGAGAAATACATCTTCATCAACCTGCTTCCTTTCAACAGGACATGAATGATCTTGATATGATTTCAAATAGTTGCTGTTGGTGCAGCTTTTATTCTTAATGCATACACAATTGTTGGGCTCTCAGAAAGCTTAAAATTTCATGGTTCATTCTGCTGTTGAATTTTATTTAGTTGAGCAGGTGAAGTGATTAACACACACATAGATTGATTACATCTCAGTGAAATAACTGCCAATACTGCCCTACCATCTGCTTCGCCATAACAAGGAGAGTTATCTTGATATATTAAATATTAGCCCCTTTTAATATATATTGTCAYATAACAATGTCAGAATATTTCTAAATGTGAGGAAATCTTAAGAACGAAAAATATATCTTGGCTGTAGAGCTTGCATTTTATTTCCTTTTAAGACCTAGTGCTGTGTTAACTTCATAGCAAAAGTGGAATATTTTTTCTTTGCTGCAATAGCTGTTGTATGAATTGATGATTATATGTTCATCTTAAATTGCAGGGTATGATAATATCAGTGAAACAAGTTGTTTCTTATGATAACATGCACAGAAGAAGGCTAAAGAGGAGGAATTGTTCCTTGTTTTTCTTTGAAATAAATCAAAATATATTCCTCTATATGGTTTCAGCTTTGGGGAAACAAGGGACATGGCCTGGGTCATTTTCTGGCCTCAAGATCATTGTATGATGCAGGTGACAAAGAAAACCCCAAACTATCAAGCTTTTCATCACTAACATCACACCTCTTCTTGATACTACAATCTCAAATAAATGAAAGCCTCTCCTTCCATCAAACAATAAAGTGTTTGCTGTTCCAGGGTATTTGACTAATCTAAAATCCATCATAGCACTGAAGTGCACCGCTATACCACACTGCTGCCTGGAAAGGCAATCAGTGACTCAGAACTTCACAGACACACATTCATTTCAAGTGTCGAATGCTAGGACACCATCACTTACTCTCACCTCACTTGCTGTCATTTCATTGCCAGTCTGAACACAAGCAGCAAAGGATTAACTTTCTGTTAAAGCAATAAAATACAACCTGCTTCTCACTCTCACACAGCATGTGGAGAGGTAGGCTGTGGGTCTGACTGTGGCATTTAAAGTATGGAAATAAAACAAAAAACTTGTTAAATGCCTTCTTCACTATAAAATACTCTGTTTTGTCCCACCTAGAGGATGGAATTTGCAAAGGCAGCAGCACCCAGTGAGAATCATTTCAGGCAGGGCAAAAAGTCAGTAAAAGAAAAAGCACTATTTACTCAAATGCTGTTAAGGAAAGAAAGTCATGTTTGATTCTAAGACACCCACCAAAAAAAAGAGTCAGAAACCTGTCACACGGCTACCTACCATCAAAGCAGCTTACTCAAATAGGTAGGATTTTTCTCATTATACTAGACAGTGGCTTTTGATGTCTTCAGCAGGTCAAGAAGCCTACAAATTAGTAGGAAAATTTCTCAGCACGAAGGGGGATGATCTCTCATCTATAATGTGAGGCGTCATTTACACACCTGTCACAGGTCTACAAGCAGTCATGTACATCCCCGAAAGGATGACAGCTTTGTTCACAGACGTGTCCAAAACATATAATGAATCAGGGGTGCACAATCAACCTTGCATTATACACAAACTTGGAATGATTTTATTCATAGTAGGTGAACAAAAGTCATGTCACCATGAAAGACTGAAAGAAGAGAGGCTTTATTTTTTTCGTTCTTGAAGGAAAAATGTCTTCCTTGAGTATCAGGAAAACAAAAACAAAACACACACACAACACACACACACACACACACACACACAAAGGAAAAAGTTATCATAAAATAGAAAAAAAAGATGGTGAAATATAACTGTGAACAATACACAGACAGTTTTCTCTTCAAAACTTCATTAGTATTGTCCATGAAATTCTCACGTGACTATTTCCCACCAGATTTAAACTGATTCACATAGCAACTGGTGTTAGTTCTTGTTAACACTTTTAATAAAATTATATTTTGAAGACCTGTCCCCTGAGACCTCAAACTGCAACAGGTTGAAAGGGGCAGGAGCAACTTTAGCTTTCATGGTGACAAAAAAAAAAAAAAAAGGCTGCTGCAATTTGAGGTGTCATGAGGCAGACAAATGGGTAGTGAGGTGTCAGAATTGCACAGTGCTATATATAAAATCTTCTTAACCTCACACTTAGGAGATGCATTTGGCATGTTTGCTTGGCATACTTAAAACCAGCAGCCACAGAGAGTGGAAAAAATTAAGCTAAGATTCACTAAGGTGGATTTAAGTACTAATAAAAACAGGACACAATGCAATTTACCCACTGCGTAACCACATAATTGAGCACAGAGTGACAAAAAGTAGCCTGATATTTTTAATTTCACATTCAATTCTCCTTTCAACTCCCCTCAATTTTCTGAAGCATCTACCTGGCCTTCCAATGAGGGAATTTAGCTCACTAACACAAGTGAACATTTACAAAGCATTTCTTCTAATGTCAGTATTACTATACTTGAACATTTCTATTTTCATTTTTGTTTGTTCACAGACATTACTGACAGACTTTTTTGTTTCATTTATTTTCTGCAATTCCTGTCACTTTAAAATGAAATGATATAAGGATGAAATCAAGTTCACTGAAGTATGGGCTTCCTGATTTTCCCCACAGGCGCATCCTCTGAAGCTACAATTTCTTAGTTTGAGCTTTCCTTTCTGTTCTGCTTTAGGGGTAAAACACAGAAAATCAAAAAACTGTATGCCTTGTTTCCCAAAGAGCCAGTATGAACTTCTTCTCTTCACAAGGTGTTTCCTGATACTTCACTCACATCCACTTCAGTATGAAACTCTGTGCTACTGTTTGCATTCACATGAATATGCTTTGGAGCAAACCTGCCAAAGACAAAATCTAAAATACTTACAAAGAATATCACTAGTGCAAAACAAAAATACTTTAGAAAAATGTCTCAGATAAAATATCATTCCATTACRTCAGGCACCCAGACAGAACCCCACATACTGGGCGCAGACCACTTCTACTCTGTTGTAGAACAACGCGCTCCTGCACCAGAATCTGTTGCAGACCACTTGCCACTTTCTGCTAGGACACCCGCTCTCCCCACTTTCTCCCCCTCCAGAGGCTGGGTCTGTAGATGAGCATTCACATCATTTTGGAGCCATGCAATACATTCTCCACTGCTTATAACACTCAAGAAATTGGACTAGTAGGTGTCAGTTGGGAAAAGTATTTTACTACATGGTCCTTACAGACATGGAGTCCTGAAGGATGAAAAACTTCCGTGGTCACAGCACCATGTTGCAGCTTTTCCCTTTCTTAAGGACAGTTACGGCCAGGCTCCACCGGCCACATCTCCAGCTTCTCTATCAATCAGCTCTGTTTGAACATCACAGGCAATGAAA